AAGTTACATCCTGCATTCCCATATCGTATTTCTAATTCTTCCAGTTTGATACCCATTTAGGCATTGTTTGTACAAACAGTGGGTTTGGATTGGAGGAGTCATCACGTATGGGTCTCCGTGCATTAAGAATTTCCTGCTTTACGGGCAACCATGTTTTATGTAAAGCAGTTCTCTGACTGAATTTATGATTTCTTCAGAGGAAACATTTGGCTTTGATGATCCTTGCAGAGTTGAGAATCTTTTCTATTATTCTGGAAAGGCCAGGATGATAATAATATCTCAGTGGGATTGAAGCTCACTTCCGTTGTGAGCTTCCAGTTGGTTGAACAGCCCCAGTTCCATAGACTCCTCCTGTTCATCCACTTCTTCTTGCCACTGGCTTTCAAACACTAACTTGCTGCTTCCAACGGATTACTTCTTTCTCCTTGGGGTCTTCTTGTGATCATAATTTCTTGTACTCTTTTCCTCTTCCACTAACGTCCCTGGAGAGCTGTTCCAGAATTCTCAGAAAGAAGTGCTGCAGAAGTAAAATGGAGGTACGTATATGCCCCCTATACCTGCTATAACTCACATGCATCAAGAGACAGAAAGATGATCAAAGGCATCTAAATGGCCCTGCCATTCATCCATAAATGAAAACTAAAGTAGCCATTTACAAATTCTATGATTCACTAATCACCTAAATCCCTCTTTAATTACAGTAAAGTGCAATAAGAGTCTGTGAGAATCTAGCTTTCTGGTAAGAAGTGGCTGCTGGAGGCTTGTGCTTTTCACCTTTTCTGAGAGGATTGCCTCTGGTCCTCTGACCTTGCTGTCAGCCCCACATGACATGACAGGCCAAGAACCCAACTCCACAGGAACCCCAAAACTACCTTTGCTGAGATTGCCTATCATGACATAACCTTACAAGTCTAATTGTGTTGTACTTTTGTACTTTGGTGAATCAGGGAGGCAACTGCCGGAGCCAATTCCAAATGCTACCTTATTGTTCTGGAATGAAAAGGAGCTTCAGCCCTTTTTTCCTAGGCCTCTCTGTCTCTGTCAAGGCCGTCTTACATATATATTTGCTATATTTGCATCAGTATTAAGTGCAGCTTAGCTACGTCTCTCACTAGGACGGACAAGCACACAATTGGCAGGTCACCCCTGCTCAGTTTCACTTCATCAGGCTCGATCAGCTTGTTCCTCCCTTCTCCTCCTCCATCAAACCCCCTTGCAACATTTCCTCTGCTTCCCACTCTTTGGTCACAGGTTCCCAGCTGCCTGACTTCTTTGGAGAGAGAGCAGGCTGAGGAAGAGCATGATGGCAAAACTGCCCCAAATCAGGGGTAGGTTTCCTTTCTCTAGGGAGTGCAGAACTGGACAAAAAGGGTAACGATTTCTAAAAGAAACTTCACATCATTTAAAAACCTGCACGCCTCCAAAGGAAGAAAAAAATATTCTGTTTTTTAGCACTATCTCTTCAGAGTACCATGTTGGCACTGGCTGAACTATTGTAATTCAGTACCTCAACCAACCCAGAGAACTGGATTAACTAACTAAACCGGGTGTATTTTGTATAAACACACAACCTAAGAGTGTAGACCAAATGTTTACTTGCTTGCGCTACACAAGACTTTTACTGCTGTGGTTGCCATGGTTCAGCCGCCTTCTCTCTTCCTTTAGCTTGGCCTCCATCATACGCCTAGAATCAGCCACAGCAGACATAAAACACTTACCTTCCACAGGGAAAGGCAGCTTGAAGCAACCTCTGAATCCTGGAAACAGAATGATTGGTCTCTCTGCGTAGGTGGGAAAGCGAATAGGCTATTGGAATCTGATTTGATTAGAATTTGAATAAGATCAGAAGGCTGGAATAAGAGAGATTCCACACCATGCTTGGCCAAGAGAAAATTGGCCTCTTGCAAAGAGCTTGCTCACTTCTGTTCTCCTGGCCTCCGTCTTCCCAGCTCAAGCGGCCTCAAGCCATCTGCAATTCTGGTTTGTATTAATGCTGCTGGTTTAACATCTCTCTAATTTGCTTTTACAATTGGAGAAAGTAGAAACATAGACAATAGTAGACGCCCCTTACTCTTTTGGAAGATTTTGTTTCAAAAAATTAAATGCCAGGTAGAATTTTGCCTTGTAAGGTCAGTTCTGGTTAGGGAAGAAATCTTTGTCCACATCCCAACAAGATTCTTTAAACAGGTAAAAGAAGAGTATATTATCTTCTGGTTTCTGCTCAACTGGAGATCGTGGCATATTTCATCCTCAATCACTGGGGCTTGGCCTGTTTCAGATTTCACAAGTTGTGTGAATTTTTTTCCAAGCCAGAATTTCTGACTCCCCACTCATGTATATTCAGTTAGTTGTGGCTTATTCAATAAAGCAATATTACTCAATAAAACAAGACATGTAATCCAGCTCAGTATTCTACAGCCACCAACCCTGTTTAAACCAGTGTGAATGGACTGTGGAATGGTCCAACAACTGGACTAGTTGGGTTCCTGGGTTCTCATGTGGCATGAAGCCAACATTTGTTTGAACCGTATTTTATATAGTGGCCTATGATTTAAAGTCACAAACTTTAGACTATATGGAAACAAAACTAACTATATTACAGCATAGACCAACTAAATGCAGGCAAGATGAAGACATGCATCTCCTTGAGTGAACTCCGGCATCTTTGTGGGTGGTCCAGGTCATTTTCTAGACAACAATGTAGAGAGATGTTCCCTTGGCATCTGGGATGTTTTGACTGCCCAGTCTAGATCAAGCCATGGGTTTTTTTTGTGGTCTCCATCAGAAAACTGGCCTTTATCTCTCATTAAGGAGCCCCTGAGAAACACTCAAGAAATACTCCCAAAGGAGGGTTTTTTTTTAAATCTACAGGCTTAACAAAACTGTTTTAACACAATCAGAGTGATTTTTTTCTTACTTAAAATTTATGGAAATATTTATTTATAAACTAGGAAAATTCATTTTGCATGGTAAATTCTAGTGAACAGAAAAACTTGGGTCCAATCTAGGTTGGTCACCAGAACCAGAGGTTTAGTCTTTCGAAGTTTAGGACTTGTGCTGGAGCCCATCATCAGGGACCTTCTCTCTAGAGAGTATGTGATTTGGGCTAGTCTGGTATAATTGGTGTTTATATGGTGCCTGGTTGTGTGTGGCTTTTTAATTGTTGATTGGGGTGTTGACGGCCAGCTATTAAATCACTGGTTGTTGTTTCTTTATGTTGCGAAGCAGCATCAACAGGAGTGCTGATTTACCACTAGCTTATCAAGTACTCAGGAGGCAAGGGCTTGGCAACACAAAGAAACAACAGCCAGGGACTTCATAACTGGCCATCAACACCCCAATCAACATTTTAAAAGCCACACACAACCAGGCACCGTATAAACCAACACACAGAATAGCCCAAAGTACACATTCTGGCGTGAGAGAGAAGTTCCCTGAGGATGGGCTCCGGCATGATTCCGAAAGCTCGGAAGACTAAGCCTCTGGTCCCAGTGACTGACCCAGATTAGATCCTGCAACATTATCTTGGGACATGTAGATTCACCTTCATTCATGAGAAAAACATGGACTACATACAGTATTTGAAACTTGCTGACTATAAATTAAAATCTCCAGTGGATGTTTTCCAGGCCTACATATGTTCACATTTTAAATCTTTTTTTTTAGAGTAGGGAAACCAAAAAGAGTAAAACCAGCATTGGTCACATCTTGCGATCCCCATGGCTCCTTCCTCTGATTTTAATCTCACCATCATCCATGTGTCTTGCAGCTATCAGTCCAGTGAGTTTTATGACCTGCCTTGGCTACATTTGTATAATCTTTCTGAACTAGTTTGAAAGCCAGCAGAAAAGCTGATTAAACCCCCCCTGATGAACCCTTCTACACTGTTGTCCATTGGTCCATAGTCCCACATGAAACCAAACCTGCTGCACAATCCCGACAGAAAGCAGATGAATTCAAGTGAAATCCCAGGAACCCTTTTACCGTTGCTGGTCTTCAGGACAAGAAAATAGGGCACTTCTGGCCAGATTCTGTTTCCAGAACTGCAGATGAGGAGGACTGAATCGAAGGTTCTTTTCTCCAGAGGAACAGGATCAGGGCATCCCAAGAGCTGGAGGAGGCATTTTGGCCATCAAGGGCAACCCGCTACTTAATGTAAGGAAAACCAAATCATTCCAGTGAAGGGAAGCCTATCAGTTTTTAGGGTACCCCAGAAGACTTCCCAGATGTTCTGAGCTAGTATCTCATTTCATCTCACATCTCATTTAGGCTGTTCTGGAGCCTGAAGCAGGCAAGAGTTTTCACGTGGTGCCATCTCAAAATGTCATGGGGTTGTGGTTTTTTTTTGAAAGAATACCAAAATTCAGGTCATATGTTTAGCCTTGAACACAGCAAGAGACTTTAGGCATGATGAGATTTTCCTCCCAAGCACCTGCACAGATGGAATTAAAACTAACTTCCAAGGCATTAAAGGACCTCTGTTCAATGAAGAAACACCATGCAATCAATTTTCACACAGCCTTTAAAAGAATCAGAAAGCTGAGCACTACAAATAGAGAGAGGCAAAAGTAAATTCAATAACTCCTAATAACTGGTTCCCATGTCCACAGTGATGTCAGTTGCACAGTCTCTCAGATGTCTTAAAAAGCCAAGAAAAGTCAGCACCCTTTTCAAAATAAATCTTCCAATAAGTAAATTGTCAAGAAATTGGAACCAAATCTCAACTAATTCTTTCAGATATATAGAAAGCAAACATTCTTGGTTACCAATGGGAATCAAAGAAAATGTTCAACCAGTCTAACATCTGCACTCAGAGGCAAATGTATCAAGGTCTACCTTGTATTTGTCATCAGCATTTTGACACTCAAAACTAAACTCTTTCTGATCATGAAGATTCAATTTAGTTATATGGAAAATTGATGATTCCAGTTTATTCCTGCAAGAGGTAAAAGCTTTGAAATCATTACAGCCTAATAAAAGCCAACAAATTGATACTCTACCTTGAAGAAAGAGCAGCTCCTTAAGGCCAAATAAAAGTTGTGATGGTTTCCTCACTGATGTGTATGGCAACTGCACCACACGAAATCCAAGCAGAATCCCTGTGAAGTCCTCCTCTAGCTCTTAACAATCTCAAATCTTGAAACTAATCTATTAATGTAGAGGCTGCCCAGCTGCCTCCAAAAAGAAAAAAGAGGGGGGCGATAATGAGAAATCTCTCATCCCCCAGGGCTGTGTGCTCCGATTAACAGTTGGCAATCAAGATAAGCTGGGAGGAAGAGAGAGCGAAAGACAGCAAGGATGCTCTTTGACTACTTCTGGGAACAATGTCTCCAAATGTCTCGAGAAACAAAGCCAAGGAATTTGCTACATCAGATGCCTCATTAGGAAACTGTAGATGCAACCCAAGGTGGACTCATGATGGCCTCTGAAGTTCAGGTACCATAGATACCTTTCCTGAGGATGGCAACTTAATTGAATCCCAGCGGGTGAAGTACACAGGGAGCAGCAAAAGAAAACATTGCCAGATCAGCTCCTCCCAGAACTAGCAAATGGATTAAAGCCCAACAACTCTCACTTTGGCTGGGGCGGGAGAGGCTGCACCAATAGACCCAAGTTAATTCTGCCAGATCACCCCTCCCACTGGTGCATTAATATAGGCAGTTGCGTTCCTGCAGATTTTTGTGTTATATAAACAAATCAGTGTTTTCTGTTACCTAGACACATAACATTCAAAATAAGCAGCCCAAATCTGATTCAAATCCCCCCTCAGTACAGGAAATCCCTGGGGGACTCTGTAGCAGTTCCTCTCTCTATTCGCCTTAGCAAACTATTTCTGAAAAAATTGCCACAAAAATTAAATGGAAGCCCATATAGTGATCCGGAGTCTGATTTGAAAAAACCTCCAATTCTAGATTTCTGGGATTAGTGGCGAATATCTGTAGCTCAGCTATAGAATGAGGGTGGAGGTTGCGGGTAAAGCCCCACATATCTGGAGAACAAACCTCCACTCTCATTTCTGGGATTCATGTGAGGGTATTCAGATTCAATTTTCTATCTGTATAGCTCTTATCAGATCACTTGTCATGTACCCTCTATATAACTGGGTCATTTGTGGATCAGTGTACTGTGGGGACCTCAGAACAGGATTAATTGACCCAATTACCACTAGGACATTAGATTTAGCCCCGAATAGACCTATCATACATTAAACTAATTGCTACTGCTGGGCCATCCGTATAACCAACGCTTCCCATTTCTGAGACTGAGATGAAGCCCTCCTCTTCAAAAGGGACTCTCAAGATATTCTTGCCTATGATTTTTGGTTTTTCACTCCCTTCCCAAGCCACAACGCAAGCAGAAAAGAGTAGAAGTTGATTAAAAAAATAAAGACCCCTTCAAGCTGAGCTCAAGAATATAACCAGGTAGCTTTCTTGCAGCAGTACAGAAGTGGCCAGCTATCCCCTTCTCCTTGGATGTTTTTCCAACTTTTCCACATCCTTGGGGTTTCCCAGAGGTCCTCAATCTAAATACTGAGTTTGACCCTTTTTAGCATTTTCAAAATTAGCAAGGGGACACCAAAGTGTTGCTGTGTAGATGGTTAAGGCCCTTCCCTTAAAACTCTCCACGATGTCTTGGTCCCTAATAGTTCTATCATGAAGGATGATTGGAAAAAAGGGGAGGAGTAGAAAGTGACAATCTTTCAATGTCCTTCATGATGTTTAGAAGGGCAGCAGCAGACTCGGTTGCCCTGAAGCATTGCTGCCAGCCCAGTGTTGAGATGCCTAACTAAAAGAAAGAAGCTGGGACCCTTCTGACCCTTCCACGAATGACCCGTCCAGGAGAAGAGTAGGGCGAGACTCCAATGGCTCCAAGGATGCCTTGCCTGCCATCAAGTCCTGCCATGAAGGAAACCTTGTGAAACGCAGCCTTGAAATGAAACCTTCCCTCTTGTGCATCTGTGCAGCAGGAAAAATGTCCTCAGCCTCCAGATGAAGCCCCTGGCATGAGGGCCCCTGCAGCAGAGGAGGGCAACACCTTCTGGCACCCTGCCCTCATGCAGGGAAGTCTCCACACTGGCATCATTTGGAAGGATCAGGTTAAAAGTCCCCCTTTATTTTTAAAGGGATGAAAAGGGAGGGGGAATGGGAGGAGAAAACCTCCATGGAGCAACGCGCTCTTCTATCCATAAGGCTCCCATCCCCACCCCCAGTGGCCACACATTTAGAAGGGTGTCTAGGCGGGATCTACCCTCGCCTCACCTGCCATCCCCATCTTTAAAACATCAAGTTAAATCAGCTAAGATTGCTTTGGCGGTTAATGGTGGAAAAGAGAGCAGAAAATTTCTAAAGGTCGCACAGATTTGATCATTTGGCCAGGCAATTTAGAAACACAAACAATGGTTGCTGGTTTTTCAACTCTGCCCCAAAGGAAAAAGTCTGAAGCCTGAAGCCAGATAGGTGAATGTGACAGAGTCAGAGAGGCGTCTTCCCATCCAGCCTTGTTCGCACAGCAGCTGGCAAATGCCTTTTCTCTTGAGAACACCATATGACCATGGAATAAGTCAGAGATAATGGATTCGAAATACAAGATTATCAGGCTGTTTGACATCAATTGCACCTTTTCCAAACAATTATCAGGGGGATTGGAGGGTTTTAATGGCAAAGTGACGTCAGAGGATGGTTGTTGGATTTTTCAGAGATCCAGTTGACGAGTGAATGAAGGACTACAGAAAGCACCATAGTTTTTGGAGTATAAGACACACCAGAATATAAGACGCACCTTAATTTGGGGGGGAGGGGATTCTGCCTACCAGCATCAGGATCAGGGCTGTCCTCATTTCCAGTTGGCACAGATCTTTTTATCTATTTAAGACAAACCCTATCATCCTACGCACAGTAACTCAGTGAGTGAGTGAGGGGGATGATTTTCATGGGGGCAGAAGAAGGACGTAGCCCCGAAGGCTCCACTCCCGAGACGCCCCCATCTTCCTGCCTATAGCCGTAGGTGTTGAAAGCCTGGCTTCCTCACAGCAAGGCTCGATAGGAAGGCAGCACTTCAGTCCTCCTGGATGCTGCCATCTCGTAAACACGGTGCCAGGCTTCCTGGCAAGCCCATGTGCCTTTGCTGCCTCGGTCGGAGCTTTTTTGGCCTCCACACAATTTGGGGTGAAAGCGTTTTGGGGGGGCAGCACTGCGATCCCCTCCCCGAAAAAAAAAAAAGGGCATGCTGCCACCTGAAAATGTTTTCCTCCCCGATTCCCTGCTGCACATTGCAGAGTAGAGAGCCTCCTTCTCCACAGACTCCCCTTTCTTCCTGGGCCAGGAGCAGAAGTCAACCGCCCTCCGCCTGGGTCATCTGGAGAAAGGGCAGGCAGAGCTGCTAGCCGCCTTGCCTTACACCTCCTGCATAGCGCCCGCTTCACCAACCGAGCTCCGACCTCCATGTTTCCCAGGGCCACTTGCGGGTGGGGGACAGCGGGTGGGCGGGCCTACCTTCAGTATAAGATATACTCAGATTTCCATCCTTTTGGGGGGGAAAGGTGTGTCTTATACTCCGAAAAATATGATAACTCTAATGGGAGGGGATTTGGACAGCTGCCATCCAGGCAACAAAAAAAATGGGCTGCATCCAGCTGAGAGCCACAAAGTTATTCCACCCCCCACCCCTTAATCTGGCCATTTTTACATGGAAAATATGGTTGTAATGGAAACAGTACTTTGAAATGGCAACCAGGGTTCTCTTGGCGCTGATCCTTCTCCAGTTGCAAAACTCAGGACAAACTCTGCTATCCAGCTTCATTTCAAATTGAATAGATTGATGAGCCAAATCTAAGTGGCTTCAAACTAGCATCATGGCTTCATTCTCACAGTCAGGTGATGAATATCAGTTAGGACAGAATTTCTCAACCTTGACAACTTTAGGATTTGTGACCTTCAACTCCCAAAATTCCCCAGCCAGCATGGAGGTGAAATCCACACATCTTCAAGCTGCCAAGGATGAGAAATACTGAATTAAGCCTTTCCATGAAAATAAGCCCTCCCCAAAAATATTGCAACACAGCAGCAGCCAATGAGATGACCAAACTCACTGTCTCCTGCACTTCAAAAATAATAAGACCTCCCCGGAAATAAGGCCAAGCGCTTATTTCAGGGGAAACATGGTAGCCCCAAAAATATTCTGAGTGAACCATGCACCCTCTCATAAAAAAAATCCCAAATTAGCTAACCATAATTTCACCTGGTTTGTTGGACAAGCATCAGTCCCGTTGCCCCCTATTGCACCCCAAGGGCTGAAGTTGCTACAAGAATGGCAGTGTTTATTAATTGGAAGGATGACATGATTACAAAAAGAAACCATAACATTACAACAGATTATGTCTGGAATTCAAAAATT